AACGTATCGTGTGCTGACATGACTCCTCAGGTATAACGTCGTCATCTGACGAACATGTTTTCTTCTGAGGATTCGTCATCTTGTCGGTGCTCTCAAGAGTCGCACGTTTTGAGTCACGCTTTCGTGAGCGTAAGACCTCAACAGGCTCTTGGGAAATGACTCGCAGTCCGAGGCGGTCAGTTATAGGAGCTTTTCCATTATAGGAAGGCTCTGATTTATTAGAAGGGCGAGTGCGACCCCCAACTCGATGAGTTGCTCGGGGTTCATTCATCATGCCCAAGCGTTCTTTGACTGGAGCTTCGCCTCGATCCTCATGCAAAAGACCCAAGCGTTCTGCTATCACTTTCCTGCCTCTGGATGTGTCCATATTATTGCAGAGCTTCACCGGAGGTGTGGGATTAAAAGGAGCGAGATCTGAACTTGACGAAAGCTGGGAACCAGCTTTGGATCTGGAATCGACCGAGAGACACGACTGATGTCTTTTATCGGGTAGGGGCGCTAACTTAGCCTTCGGCACCTAAACCTGCTTAGATCTTGGTGACTTCTTGATCACCTCTTCCCGCTGCAATTCTCGTGCCTCTCGCACAAGGATCTGGGTGTGCGCAATAAGTGCACGGCGCTTCTGGACGCGCTCCTCGAGGGTAGAACGGGTTCATTTGACCTGAACCAATTTGTTAATTAGAGGTTGGGAGGAGGATCCCAATGCTTATTGTGGCGATAGCTTAGTCACTTGGCGCTTTCTGAACTCCCAATCCGCTTGGTACCGGAGTCCATCCACCTGATCCAAAGCCTTGGCAAATTAGCGCGCGAGGCGTTGGCGTTTCCTTTGACGTGCTCTCTTTGATAGAGTTGGCGCACCTTCAACAGTTGGCTCCTTGATCGCGAAGGAGTTCAGATCTGCAGATCTGGTCTCATCGGATGCCGGTGGATCGTTGCAGGGTGCGACTGTAGCATCGACTATGGGGAGATCAACTTCTCGGGTCTTCAGATCTAGAGACCGGCGGATCTTCTGGGAGGAGGAGATCTTTCTGCGCTTATGAGGAGGAGCAGATCTGGAGAAGGAGGAGGAGATGTATTCTTCAAATTTCTGCTGGTCGAATTCGTACTTGACCTCTTCGAACACCGGGATCTTGATCGTCGGCTGCGGCACGACAGCTTTGGCAGCGAGGCTGTTGGCTCCCACTGTGGTCGCCAGTTTGTTTGCGGTAAAAATTGATTGTTTTATTGCGGGATTCATTACAAACTTCAGACGTTTACAACGAATACAAAAATCAGTCTTTTTATAAGACTTTTACACAATGAAAACAAAAAAAATTACAATTCTCTTCAAACAAACGCAACGAGTGTTTATCACCCGCTGCTTGCATGGGATCTTGGCCTGTGACGGGAACGCGTTAGTCCATGGACCACCGAACGATCAATATTTGGACAAAGTTTCGTCTATCCGCGAAGGGATCGAGAAACCGTAGCTCTTATCTTGGCGAAGCGAGATAATCACTCTTCTTAATATTACCACAACGGGATAATCCTAAGGAACGAACCGGGCTGCAGATCTAACTCCTCCTCCTCTCTGAAATCTGTGCATTTTAAGTCTTTAATCCGGCAGGGCTTCACCGAGGCACGAGAATTCCAGATCTCCCTAAAAAAGAGGCTCCCGGGGCTGTATTTATAGGCTTCAAGGAGATCCGGGCGGTTAAAACCGTAAAACAACCAAATCTGACTTTTTTAGGGCTGGAGACACCCTTGGGCTTGGCCCGAGACACCCTAGGGTGTCTCGGCCTTGGCCGAGACACCTTGGGGTGTCTCGTTTGTGCCGAGGCACCTCGGGGTGTCTCAACTCAGGCTGAGACATTCCGTTTTGCATATTCGTCCGTTTCCGCCGTAACTTCTTCATCCGAACTTGGATTTGAGCGATTCAAAGTGCGTTGGAAAACCGATGAGGAGTTCTATAAGTTCCAATGATTATATCATCTATGGAATAAATGAGACACGAAGGGTATTTCACCTTTTGTAAGCGACGCGGGTCTCCCGATCAATTCGTATCCTCGTTATTCTGAAACTCCATTGCTTCACGTAGTTCGTCGATTCACTTCAAGCGTTCATCGATGTTAATCGAGCTTCTGTGACTTGGATAGTGACGTTCCTCACCTCCTCTTAGCATTGATCTGCTCATGGAGACCTATAGGTAATTTTCGATGCCTACACCTTCTAAGATCTTTGGATCTCTGTGCTTTATTCATAATCATAGTCCTCAACAGACGAAATTAGATTCACAATCTCTTAAGGGTATTTTTCTTAGCTATTCTAGGGCTCAAAAAGGGTACAAATGTTATTGCCCATCCTTGAATCGATATATTATTTCAGTTGATGTTGCTTTCTTTGAGAATAGCCCAGGACATATTGCCTTTGATAAATTCTTAGACCCTCCCAATGATTATGACTACCTTCTTGTTCAGAAAACCACTGTCGATGTTCCTTCAAAGGCTACTATACTGACTGAACTACCATCCATATTTGGGAAACTAGTTCAAGTTTATACAAGACGTACTGCTTTGTAGCCTGAGCCATCTTCTTAATCCACCCAAGAGCCTAATATACTAGCAAGTCGAAATGTGCTCGTACATCCAACTGCTCAAGCTACTGATGATCTTCCCATTGCTCTCCGAAAGGATAAGAGATCTTCTTCTCGAAGTTCTTGATATCCTCTTACACATTATATCTCTTACGCTTTGTTATCTCCATCACGTTACTCATTCATATCTTCTTTAGATTCTTGCTCGGTTCCCAAAAATTTGTCAGAAGCTCTATCTAATCCTGGTTGGACAGCGGTAGTGCAAGATGAAATGACGACCTTAGAAAAAGATGGGACTTGGGATCTTGTTTCCCTAGCACCAGGGGAAGAAAGTGGTTGGCTGCAAATGGGTTTACACTGTCAAAGTACATCCAAATGGTTCTCTAGGTTGCCTTAAAACTCGATTAGTTGCGAAGGGGTATTCAAAGATCTATGGCCTTGATTATATCGATATATTCTCTCCTGCAGCTAAAATGACATTTATCCACTTTCTTATTTCTCTCGCAGGTCGCTATCACTGACCACTACATCAGTTGAACGTTAAAAATGCATTCCTCAATGACATTCTTAATGAGGAGATTTATATGGAGCAACCACCAGATTTTGTTGCTCAAAGGGAGTGTGGCAAGGTGTACAAGTTAAAGAGTCTCTCTACGCTTTGAAGCAATCTCCGAGGGCTTGGTTCGAACATTTTGCCCTAGTTATCCAGACCTTTGGTCTTCATCGAGTTTATAAAGACCACTCAGTTTTCTAGAGATTTTATGGTGGAAAGCGAATCCTTTTGGTTTGTATATGTTGATGACATTATGATCATTGGTGACGATGCACATCGCATTAGTCATTTGAAGAAGTATCTACATCAATAATTTAAAACTAAGGACCTTGTATCCTTAAAATATTTTTTGGGTATCGAGGTAGCTAGAACAAAGAAGGTGATTCTCTTATCTTAGAGAAAATATGTACTTCATATTTTGCTAAATGCTGGGATGTCAGAATGCAAGGGTATTGACTCACATATGGACGATAAAATAAACTACTATCAACTCAGGGGGAGTTATTGGAGGATACTGAAGAATACAGGCGACTTGTAGGTAAACTAAGCTACCTAACAGTCATGATTTTTCGGTCGGTTATTCTCAACACCTAGGAAACCTCATATGGACGCTATGAAGAGGATTCTTAGGTACCTCAAGAAAACCCCAGGAAAAGGAGTACTTTATGCAGATAGAGGTCACATAAGAGTTGTAGGATTCTCAGATGTTTATTAGGCAGGGTCTCCTAAGGACAGATGGTCAACTAGTGGGTATTGTGTATTTCTTGGAGGAAATCTAATATCATGGAAGAGTAAGAAACAGAGTGTAGTCTCTCAACCTACAGCTGAGTTTGAGTATCGAGCCATGGCGAATTTGACTTACGAGTTAATCTATGTTAGAGATATATTAACAGAGATTAGTTATCCTCCAGAGTATCCCATGAGCTTATATAGAGATAACAAGGCCACCATTTACATAGCTGAGAACCCGGTGTTTCATGAGAGGACAAAATACATAGAGGTTGATTGTCACTTGATTCGTGAGAAGATGGAGAAGAGAATCATTAGAGCCAAGCACACACCATCAAATCATCAACTTGTAGATATTCTCACTAAACACTTGATTCGTGAGAAGATGGAGAAGAGAATCATTAGAGCCAAGCACATATCATCAGATCATCAACTTGTAGATGTTCTCACTAAACCTCTTGGGAGAACACGAGTAAAATTTATTTGTAACAAGCGAGGCATGTACAATATGTATGCTCAGCTTAAGGGAGAGTGTTGAGAGCAGTTGTTTACTATTGTTTAGTCCCACATCGGTTAGGGACAAACTTCTTTATTTCCTTGAACACTATAAATAACATCCTAGAAAGAACTAATAAACTCACTAGGGTTTTCCAAATTTCAGTATCATGTGTGTAAATTACTGTGATTCTTGGAAAGATGGCATTATGCAAAGTCAACACGACTGCAAAAATGCAACAAAAAACCTATATGAAAGTGTCTTACTGTGGATTTTTATGTAAAATAATGATATAGAGTAAATAATTACCTGATTGACTTAAATATTTCTCATTGGAGGTACACGTTGTCTTTGGATATCACCTTTATATATTCATATCAACTGTAATTTGGTACCTATAACATCAACAACTTTAAGAATATGGGTATGCATAAAACTGTCATTAAGCCTTCATTGTCAATTTTTCTTGCTGAAATATCTGATAATGCTCCAATAGTTTTTCTATCGACAAAACCAATCAGAAGTAGATGAAATGATATTAGATCAAGTCAACTTCTCAGGTTTCAACATCTCATGCTAATTAATTCAATTAGATATATTGACCAGAATTGGATAATTCCAAATAAATAAGGACACATTATAATAAAAAGAATACATAGAACTAAATTAATACTGGACATCCCTGTACTTTTGCCACCACAAATTATTAAAATTAAAGAATACAGAGAAAATATTTGGCAAAGCTTACTGTTTTGAATATCGGCGCCACAATGTTAAGTCATTCGGCCTGCGAAAAGATTCAGGATAAAGTCAGTATTCATGCTTACATTCTGATAGTATAAATGTATAATAGCTGAGTTGACCTGACCAAAAAATGAGAATTGCATAATTACACAACAAGCTAACAGATTCTGAAATTTGTGGAATATTACAATATTGGTGCACATAATTACCAAAATGCTTCTGATGGGAAAAATGAAACACACCTTTCATGTCCTTTTTAATAGTTGAAAATATTGTAACTTCACCAGACCCCCTTAAGTTTGGTCCAAGTTGAACAAAAATGATCTCAATTAGTTTGAATTAATTTTATAATTAGAGTGTTCATTTGAAAAGGGTTCTATAGAAGATTACCTTCATGGGCTTCATGAACAGGATCGATCAGGTACTGATCAGAGCCCGATGTGGGAATTTGAAGAACATTTGAGAACAGCAATGAATTCAAGTTGCCTTCAGCTGTGACGTTCGCAATGAAAATATTCAGAATAATAATCCCCGCCCATCTAATACCAACAAATTGAAAAAGCAACATCAAATAATAATGTTAACACTCATCCATGACATTGTAATTGTAGATCCGGATAAATACACACATGCAATAGGGTTGTTCTACTACATAAACAATGCACAACGGAATTAAAGAAGTCCTAGCATGCACCTAGGAATATAAATGATAAGTTTAGGATTACCGATTCAATCTTTTCTATAGGATCGTCACGCCTTCTTGGTCAATGGTAGGAGGGAGACCACAATGTGCAACTGGTGAGAAGCTCCTGCATATCACCCCGTGATTACCGCATAAAGCACGAATTTAATTGGAGAAGGAAATGACGGCTTTGTGAAGGTTTATAGTATTTTCTCTCTTATTACTATATATAAAGAGCTTAGAGATAGAATCATACAATTATTAGGATTATGAATAATTTATCTTTAAGATAGGATATTATCCACCCACTAATTTGGGTGTCTATCTCATAATAATAACCAATATACTCTCACTCACACAAATGAGTGAGTGCCATCCATTGCTCCCTGTGCCGACTCCCTAAGTTGTTGACTCCCCGAGTCAAAGTCTCCCTTGAGAATATCCTTTCTTTTCAAATACATGTCCATACATCATTAGTCCAACATGGACCGTTGAGAATCTGCAAGTGGGTAGCCTTGCAACCAGATCTGTTAGATTGACACAAGGATCTCCCTAAAAGAAAACACACAATAAAAAGTGTAAGTATGTGTTATCTTGTACCCCAGATCTGATCAACCATGTCTGCTCAAATACCTTTGATCCGTCCAGGAAGCGTACATGAACACCAAGGTCTACCCTCGATTCATCGCACTCTTAAATCTTGTCCCCAAAAAAGAATAAGAGTTGGTCAAGCAATACAATTAGGAGACATATCAATCGATCTTCCTCTAGCCCTAAGTAGTTGAGCGTGTTAATCACCTACTTTTCTAACACTGCACCGTATGTGCGGTATTATCTCAACGCTGCAGGAAATAGCAGTCAAAGTAGCAGACACTCATAACAGCCTTCCCAGATAACACGATGTCTCTAAGGGTACAGTGACTGCCCTCCATTACTTGTGGTTGTCAATAAGAGCTCACACAGTGAGGGAGTAGGGATCCATCCCTCGACCTCCTTATATCTAGTTCAAAAGCGCGTCGTATAGAAACGTGGTACGGTATTACTTCTCTCCCCTGAGAGCATACATCATTAAGTAAATACCGTACAGATCTAAGTTCCATCACCATGTGATGAACTAGTACGGTCATATCGCCCTGCAATATGCCTAGGATCTCCCGACAAGCCTGCATCTCGTGCACCAAGTCAGGCCCCTAGTCTGGCTGAGAGTAAACAAGTAAAATGGAGGTGGGTTTCAATTTAGGTCGCCTCAACATACAAGTATATAGTAAACTAGGGTTGTCTAAATAGGCTTGAGGCTTGGATGCGGCTGAGCCGTACACATTTAGCCTTCTGAGTGAGTAGTTTACCGTCTTGACCGTCTTAATTCTTGGTAACTTCTATCTTCTCAAAAAAAATTCACGCATTAGATATCGACCTTTTAGGAGCTCTATGTATGGCATCATCACTACCATATTCGGGATCAACATCGATAGGAGGAGTAGCTCCTGTAGGTGTAGTAGGAGTAGGACTCATTTCGATATCGGGAGTTAGAGCTTGCCCGTTATAGTCGGAGGAGGAAGCCATTTGATTGGAGAATTAGAGAATATAAGAGAAAACAAGAGAATATTAGAGAGTACGAGAGAGTATGAGAGAGTATTAGAGAGAAGTAGATGAGTTTTGGATGAGAAAAATAAATGAAAACCCCCTCTATTTATAAAGGCAACCCCTTAGCCAAATGACCAAAATACCCTTAAATTTTGGTCTTTTTTGACCATTTTTAGGGTATGTTGGTCAATTAACCAAAAATAGCCGTTATAGGCTATTTTTAGTAGATCGGACTGGGCTGGGTCCGGACCTGACCCGCGCTGCTCGGTCTAACAGTCATAAATGTGACTGTTTGGACCAGGTCGGGTCCGGGTCAGCCCGATCCGCCAGTATTCATGACCGTTGTACCGGACTCGGTCTGGGCTGAGTCTATGCTACCTAGTCCAACAGTCAAAATTTTTTACCATTAGACCCCGGGCCGGGCTAAACTCGCCTGGTCAACCTCTTCTTGCTGGGTCTGACCCCTATTCGTACCAGACCTGGACCCAGGTTTCTTGACCTGGTCATTTTCGTGGCTAGGTCGGGCTGAGCCCTGTGTGGGTTTCACTGAGGCGACCCAAGCCCGGGCCCAGAGCCCGGTTTGCCCTGAAAAATCAAGCTTTGCTTGGGTCTGGGTCGCGCTTGAAGCGCGACCCAGACCCAAGCAAAGCTTGATTTTTCAGGGCAAACCGGGCTCTGGGCCCGGGCTTGGGTCGCCTCAGTGAAACCCACACAGGGCTCAGCCCGACCTAGCCACGAAAATGACCAGGTCAAGAAACCTGGGTCCAGGTCTGGTACGAATAGGGGTCAGACCCAGCAAGAAGAGGTTGACCAGGCGAGTTTAGCCCGGCCCGGGGTCTAATGGTAAAAAATTTTGACTGTTGGACTAGGTAGCATAGACTCAGCCCAGACCGAGTCCGGTACAACGGTCATGAATACTGGCGGATCGGGCTGACCCGGACCCGACCTGGTCCAAACAGTCACATTTATGACTGTTAGACCGAGCAGCGCGGGTCAGGTCCGGACCCAGCCCAGTCCGATCTACTAAAAATAGCCTATAACGGCTATTTTTGGTTAATTGACCAACATACCCTAAAAATGGTCAAAAAAGACCAAAATTTAAGGGTATTTTGGTCATTTGGCTAAGGGGTTGCCTTTATAAATAGAGGGGGTTTTCATTTATTTTTCTCATCCAAAACTCATCTACTTCTCTCTAATACTCTCTCATACTCTCTCGTACTCTCTAATATTCTCTTGTTTTCTCTTATATTCTCTAATTCTCCAATCAAATGGCTTCCTCCTCCGACTATAACGGGCAAGCTCTAACTCCCGATATCGAAATGAGTCCTACTCCTACTACACCTACAGGAGCTACTCCTCCTATCGATGTTGATCCCGAATATGGTAGTGATGATGCCATACATAGAGCTCCTAAAAGGTCGATATCTAATGCGTGAATTTTTTTTGAGAAGATAGAAGTTACCAAGAATTAAGACGGTCAAGACGGTAAACTACTCACTCAGAAGGCTAAATGTGTATTGTGTGGCCATATTTTTAAAACTCATCATAATAGCCGCACCAACCACCTCAAACACCATTTGGAAAAACACAACAGAGCTTAAGCGACAACATCTGCAGGAGGCATCCAACAATCTCTACTATTTCAATCATCCACTTCTGGCAGCCTCGGTTCCTAAACCTACGATGCAATTAAAGCTAGGAAATGTGTCAGCATGTTTATTGTTCTTAAAAACCTTTCTTTTAAATTAGTAAAAGATGATGAATTTAAATATATGATTATAGATGATTTTTATCCTGCATTTAAAAAAATTTCTCATCAATCTTTTCAACGTGATATTTTAAAATATTATCACAAGGGAAAAACAAAAATAATTTCTTATTTTCAAGGCTTAAACTATAATTTTTCTCTAACTTCAGATATTTGCATATCTAGAGCACAAACTGGCTATTTATGTATCACAGCACATTAGATTGATGATACTTAGCAAATGTTTAAAAGAGTTATTTCTTTTATTGAATTTGAAGATTCACACACTAGTGTTAATGTTACAAATTTAATAATGAAAGAACTTTCTAAATTAGAAATTTCTAAAAAAAATATTTGCTCTTATACTAAATAATGCAAATAATAATAATGTAGATGTAGATCATATCAAATCTTCTTTGCTATTGCCATGTCATTTGTAAAATTTTCATATTAGATGTATGTGTCATATTTTAAATTTAATTATTTAAAGTATATTTAATAAAATTAAACACGTGATAGGAAAAGTTAGGATTATAGCTTATGCTCACAATACTTCTGAACAAAGACTTAAAAGATGGAAACAATTGTGTAAAAGAAAAAAAATTTAACCTTAAGTTAATTCCAAAAGATATTGACCACAAGTAGAATTCCACCTATGCAATGTTAAATATAGCAATAGATTAAAAAGAAATTATAAATAATTTTATTAATTTCTATGATTCTAATTCTAACTCTGGTAGTATGTATGGAATAATTGATGAAGAAGGAATAATTATATGTAGTGTAAAAGAGATACTGCAAGTTTTTATGAAGCTACTATGTTATTATTTGGTTGTTATTATCCAACTATTACGCAAGCTGTTTTACAAGTTTTACGTATTCAAACTTTGTTTACTAATTATCTTATGGATAATTATTTTAGAAATATGATTTTTTAAATAGAAAGTAAATTTAATAAGTATATTAGACCTATTCCTATTATTTTTGATTTGGGGGTTCTTATTGGTCCATGTTTGAAGGATGTTGGCATTCAAATTTTATTAAATTCTTTATATGAGAACATGATAATAGATACTGATGATGGTCAAACTGTTACTACTCTTACTCATCATAGTACTATTAAATATTATTTTTAAAGATTATGTGAGGAGTATGCAGATAGATATGGTATAAGTACACATCAACCTACAGCTTTTGCTTCTACGAGTTCAAGCCGAGGCAAAGATAAGAGTTTTGATAGGCAATTAATGATAGCGTGGCTACCTAGTAGCCATAGATCTGGATCTGGATCATCATCAAGGGAAGTTTTTGAAATTGAACAATATTTATCTGCACCTTTAGTTAATGCTCAAAATAATAATTTTGATATTTTGCAATTGTGGAGACTATGGAACAATTTCATATCCTATACTTTCCATCGTAGCTTGTGACTTATTAACAGTGCCGGTTGCTACAGTAGCTTCTGAATGCACCTTCAGCACATCAGGACATTTAATCGATGAACATAAAATATCGCTAGATCCATCTACTGTACAGGCGGTAATGTGCCTATAAGATTGGTGAAGATCCTAGAAAAGAACTCAATGTATCGATCGAATGGCTGGTATTGAAGATAGACTTGATGAATTGATAATAGGAGATAAAGATAGGGAGTAGAAATTATTTACTAGTTTATAATTTTTATTTTTTAGCTGTAAATTTGTGATAAATTATTTCAAAAGAGTTGCAAATTATAGTGATATAGATGAGTAGGTGTCAACCTAGTTTGGATGTATTCATCTATTATGATGCGACAA